TAGCGTCTGGACAACGCCGGCGTCAGAGATGGAATTTATGGTGCGGTGGTGGAGGGAGCCAACGAGGAAGTGCTGTGCTGATGGGTCCCACGCAAGGCCCTCTGGATAGAGGTTAGGTGATCGGAAGTTGATGATGTGGGGGTTTCTGGCGAGGGCTGGGCATAACAGGATGAAGACGGTGGTGAAGAAGATAATCCTAATCGTAAATAAATTGGATTCGAAGAGAGACATGGGTGACTGCTGCTTGATCAGGTGGTATGCTTTGGGGGAAAATTGCGAGTATTTCATTTCACCATGTCGCTGTTTTTATAGGATTGTTTTATGAATTTCTTGTCAAAGGGGCTTTCAATCTTCAAATTTTATCCCAAAACTTTCTTGTTGAAGGGGTTTTCGATGTTTAAGGCTTGTATTTGTTCGAATTGGAAATGGAGGAAAGGAAAAGGAAATAATTTCCTTCTAAATTTTAGTTGAATTAAAACAAGCAATAATTTTTTAATAAAAATAAAAAATATTAAATTTGAGTATCATACCGTATAAAATGATGAATTAAAAGACGAGAGAATTATCTATTACAACTACATTTGATTCGATAATGCTTGTAGTGTTGCACTAGTGTGTTTTTTTTTTTAATATTGAAATTATTCACATATATTAATTTATTAATTTGGAAAAGAGAAAAAAGATTTTAGGAAACTCGAACACATAAATGACTCTAAATCAGTAACTATGCTACTAGAGCGAAGCGGATTGTTGCTTACACTAGTGTGTTATTTGCAGAAAAAAGAAAAGAAAAGAAATATTAATTTGCTAATCAAATGGATTTTAATTATTGGCATTTATAATGGTAGGACAACGAATTCTGTTTTGAAGTTAGCTTTTAATTTGTTCAAAATTTGCTTTTACAGTGCTATTTTTTGCTCGGTTATGCACTATTAATTTGTTAATTAAATTGGTTTTAATTAATGTTTTGTCCATTTTAATAATTAATAAGTGTACAAAACTTTTTGAATACGTATCGATTATCGAACACTTATTTATTTATCCCAGTTCAAACATTTGGGCTGGGCTCATAAGTGAGCTGGATATAATGATGAGCTGTGATTGATTGTTTTTGTCTGGGCTAGGCTTTTAAATTAAAAAGACAAAACCCTTTTTAAGCCTTCAAACTTATCCCAAAATAACATTTAAACCCCTAAATTAAAAATGAAGCAAATAAACCCTTCAACTCCATTAATAATACAAATAAACCCTCCTTACAAAAGGGCCAAACTGAGTATCTCATGGTGGACTAACGCTGTTTCTATTTTGGGCTTCCACTAATTCACATAGATATATATATATATATATATATGCGCTAATGTATCACCATTCTATGTACACATATAAGTTGATGTAGATAATAATGCAGTGTGCTACCACTAAATCTCTTCTTAGTTTTGCCTTCCTCTTCATAGAACCAGTTGAAGCTCGTGTAAGGAAACTTGAGAACAAGAAAAAGGCCATGGAGAAGCTTAGAGAAAAGTCACAAGTTTCTAAGCCAAAAGGTGAAGCACCTTCAACACAACAATTGCCAGATGATAAAAGCCTTCCAACTTTGCCACTACCATCACAAGCAAGCAGAGTAGGACGTTTAGTGGAAGCAACCCACAACAATATTTGAAACTACTTGTTATTCAAGACAATCTAACATTGAATCATCGGAACTACTTGTTTCTGACAGCCTAACAAGTGAGGAGCTATTTAATCCAAAAACAAGTTTGTAATTAGCTAATCTCATGTTAAGAACTAGTACTTTGAGTTGGTGAATACCAATTTAGTTAAGATTCTAATATAGGCTGATTTGGGTTAATTTAACAAATCATTTATTAACTTTTATATTCTTTTCAGTTTCATCTATTATTTTTGAATTCTTTCAATCATGTCTATTATCTTTCACATTTATTTCAATTTCATCTAATCCGTTATCTTTGATGGAAATGTCCGTTATCTTTAATGGAAATCTTCTTAGAATAAGAAAATATTTAGTCTTTTAACTATATTTTTTTGATCTTTTGGTCCTTAGATTTATATTCACTACAAAAATAGTTTTTATTTTTATTTTGCTAAATGTGTTCTTTAGAAAACTACTTTACCGAGCGGACTATATGCAGTTCATCCTATAAAATTATTTAAATACTTTTAATTTTATTTTTATATTATTTTTTCAAGAAAATTTAAATAATTTTACAAAATAGATTGCATACAATCTATCATATAATCTGTCTTGTAAAACAGATTTACTTTTAAAACTTATCATTTTAAATTTACTAAGTTTCTGTGCTTAAATTGAGTTAGTTATTCAAGTTTATTATAAATTTTAACTAATTTATCTCTATAAAATATTTCTGGAATCATTATATTTTATTAAAACTATAATATTACTTTTTCAAAACTTAAGGGGTTACTCTTTCTGTTAAATCTAATAAAATTTTATATAGTAAACTATTTTGAAATATTCTTTAAAGTTTATAGGTTATTTAGAAAGAAAATAAACTATTTAAACTAAAAAAAATTAAGCTATTAATTAATAAACCAAAAATTGAATTAAGCGGGCGGATTTCATTCATTCGCAATAACAAAGGAATTAGTACATGGAAGAGCCTACTTGTGGAATCCTTCCTAACACAATTTGCAAAATAAGCCCACATCAATAGAAGGAAACCATGTACATACAATCTTATTTCACAATAAAACTTTGAAATTTAAGAAAGAAAAACATTGAATCTCACAATCTAACATAACAGTAGTCTCACTTAACGGGACTTGTGAATTGGTATGCATTCACCGTGCTCTTTATTGTGAGTTGTGAGACTCAACTGTGTGGGTCGGCTCTGTGGAAAAGAACACTAATTAGTCTTTTTATCCATGTTTGTAACCAGCTGCTTCATCTGGAACCTCCAAAACAGGAAATAAGCCAAACCCAACCCAACCATTACTAAAATCCAAACCTTTTGCCCCCCACTCTCCTTCTCCGACCTCACTTCCTCTATTCTAAAAACTTCCCTGCCTTGCACTTTCCCCATTGTACCTTCCAGAACATGCCCATATAACACATATACCCTGTCCTCTGCTCCTACTATTACTGAAGATGCAAACCCTTCCTCATCAAGGGCAATTTTGTCATATACCACACCCTCACCCCAGCTATCATCACTCTTCAGGAACCACAGCTTCTTGTGCGACACTGCCAAAACGACGCCGTCTTTCCGCACTGCCATTCCGTCTACCCAAGTCAACTCCTCGGGCAACAGAACCAGCCTCGCCGTCCCGTCGTCGGCATCCACCTTGAACATCTTGCCTGTGTTTGTTTGCACCACCAGCAAGTACCCTTTGCTGATGTAAGCAATCCCGTTGAGTCCGCTATAGTTGTACGGGTCATTTGGGTCTATTGGATATCGGGTGAAAAGCGGAGATCTGGAAAAGATCGATGACTCTCCGTTTGCGTTTACCTTCCAGATGAAATTTCCGGCGGAATTAGTGACGTAGGCGTTCCCCTTGAAGTCCACCGCCACGTCATTCGCGACCTGGCGGCGGGTGGTGGGGGTCTCGATGCCATCTTGTACTTCGGTATCCTCGTTGGGGGATTGGAGGATGGAGAGGAATAGGCGTTCACGGGTGCGGAGGTCGTAGGCGGCAAGGGCGTTGAAAGGAGGGAGAGGAGCGTCGGAGTGGACAGCCGCGAGGAGGCGATTGGTGGTGCGGTCCACCGTGAGGCCCAGAATACTGGTGTTAACGGGGAGTGTGGGGTCCGAGATTAGCGTCTGGACAACGCCGGCGTCAGAGATGGAATTTATGGTGCGGTGGTGGAGGGAGCCAACGAGGAAGTGCTGTGCTGATGGGTCCCACGCAATGCCCTCCGGATAGAGGTTAGGTGATCGGAAGTTAATGATGTGGGGGTTTCTGGCGAGGGCTGGGCATAGCAGGATGAAGACGGTGGTGAAGAAGATAATCCTAATAGTTGATGGATTGGATTCGAAAAGAGACATAGGTGGCTGCTGCTCGATCAAGTGTTCGAGTCTGTTTAGTGGGAAAATTGCGAGTATTTCATTTTACTATGTCGCTGTCTTTTATAGGATTGTCTTATGAATTTCTTGTCAAAGGGGCTTTCAATCTTAACCAAAGAAAAAAAAAAGTATGAAGATCTTCAAATTTTATCCCAAAACTTTCTTGTTGAAGGGGTTTTCGATGTTTAAGGCTTGTATTTGTTCGAATTGGAAATGGAGGAAAGGAAAAAGAAATAATTTCCTTCTAAATCCTAATTGAATTAAAACAAGCAAAGTAAATTTAAATAATTTTTTAATGAAAATAAAAAATATTAAATTTAAGTCTTATAACATGTAAATAACTAAATATGATTTAAGAAAAAAACTAAATATGATGAATTAAAAATAAAATTGAGAGAATTATCTCTTAAAACTACGAATGATTTGATAATGCTTCTAGTGTTGTGCCAGTGTGTTATTATTATTATTATTATTTTTTTGAATACTATACAATTTTGGGAGAAGGGTTTATTTTAAGGAGTTGGTGGTGTTTGACATTTCGGACCAACGAAATTCAAATACTCTAAAACTTGAAAATAAATTATTTGGACTCAAAGGTCCGGTTTGTGTTAATATGTTATTTGCAGAAAAAATAAAAAGAAATATTAATTTGTTAATTAAATTAATTTTAATAATTAGTTGTTAATGACTTAAATAGTTAAGTAATTATTATTTTTTTTTTGTTAAAAGCAAGAGGTCTTAAATTTAAGTCGCCTGATATATAGGAGGGATGAAATAAATGATGAGAGATAATTATTTTTTATTAGACAACTAAAATAAAAAATGAGATGGATAAGGATGCAAGATAGTTATTTTTCATTATAAGACCAAAATAAAAATGAGATGAATAAAGAATGAAAGTTTATTATATCTCATTGTGTAATAAAAAAAAAAAGGGCATTTATAATTGTCAGACAACGAATACTGTTTTGCAGTTAGCTTTTAAAGTTTGTTCAAAATTTGCTTTTACAGTCAGTGCCTTTTTGCTCAGTTATGCACTATTAATTTGTTGATTAAGTTGGTTTTAACTAATGTTTTGTTTATTTTAATAATTAATAATGTACAACACTTTGACTTCCAAACAGTGACCACAGGTCAGATCATGTATAAATGCATTTTTTTATCTCCACAGCAACAATTCAAATCCGATTTTTTTGTAAATTTGTTTAAAAATATAATAATAATAATGTACAATACTTTTTGAATATGTACCAAACACTTATTTATTTCATGTTCAAAAAAAAAAACACTTATTTATTTATTTATTTTTCAGTTCAAAGCATTTGGGTTGGGCTCATAAGTGAGCTGGATATAGTGATGAGCCGTGATTGGTAGGTTTTGTATGGGCTTGGCTTTTAAATTAAAAATTCAGTTGGATTTTCAGTCCATCAGCAAGATCAAAATGGCAGGCTAATCCATAACATGTTTGGTACGAGGGAAAACAGGCAAAACGCCCCATTTTGCCCTTCAACTTTTCAGATGTGAGGGATTTTACCCCTCACCTTACAATGTATGAATTTTTGCCTTTTAATTTTTCTAGTTTAGGATAATAAGACACAATATTTAATATCACACAGTCACGTGCAGCATATGAACATTAGTCCTCTGTTACCCAGGCATGTCAGCACCACCTAAATGCCTTGTTAGCGCCTCATGGATACCCGTTTCACACCTTGGAACCCATACCCTTCACCTTATCAATTTTGAGGATTTTTGCCCCTCAACTTATAATGTGTGACTTTTTGCCTTTCAACTTATCAATTTGAGCAAATGAGGTAAAATTTAATGTTCAATGGTCATGTGTAACAAGTTGGCCTTAGAACTTCGTCACGAAACAACACATCAACACCACATGGAATCATTTTTACATGCTAGCAATGCTAACTTGGACCCACTCATCTATTTTCAATGTGAGTCCAATGCATTCTCATCTTTTTTAATAGAAAAAATGAAACTACCAATCTTCTTCCTCTTAACCATCCTAACCTTACCATCTGCAAAACTTTCCATTTTAGACTCTTTCTTATTTAAACAAATTGGCAGAGAATAGAGACCAAGGGCCTATTTGGTTACAAACTTTCTCAAAAAAGTTCCTCTTGGGAAGCTAGGGCAAAAAAAGTTGGTTTGCCTAAACTTTTTGAGAGAAATGAACGTGTTGAATATAATCAATTATTTTGTTTTATAATGGGTTATAATACTCATATTTAGTCACATTTTTCAAAAGGTAACTTTCTAAGATTTTTGTCTCAAAAACACATTTTGAGATATGTAATCAATTAATCTCTATTATAACTAGTTACAACATTCCAGTACCTATTTTCAAAAAAAAAAAAAAAAACTAGTTACAACATAAAAATTATTTTATTTTATTCTTAATTTTTGTGCCTAGATTGTTGAGCCAAGCTCCAAAATCAGTGCAGCTTCCCTAGAATGTTTTCCCCTAAGAAAGTAAGCCACCGAACACAACCGAAAGATGAGGATGACTAAAGTAGGGAGAGAAAAGAAATATTAATTTATTTAATTGAAATTAATCAATATGAAAATTATTTATTGTTTAATAATAAGGTTAAACCCTCAATTTGGTCCCTAAACTATTGTATAAACTCTTAATTTGGTCCTTAAACTAAAAAAATCCTTGATTTGATCCCTAAACTATTGTACAGACCCCCAATTTGGTCCTATTGTTTATCAATTTGTCTCAAGTTGGTCCTTTCGTAAAAAAAAAAAAAGCTGACATATCCATAACTTAACGGGGAAAAACAATAACTTAACGACAAAAAACAATAACTTAACGGTCATGTGTCATGTTAATAACAAGACATGTAATTGGTTTTTGTATGAAATGACCAATTTGAGGTAAATTGATAAACAGTAGAAACCAAATCGGGAGATCTGTATAATAATTTAGGGACCAAATCATAGATTTTTTTTTTTTAGTTTAGGGACCAAATCAAGGATTTCTTTAGTTTAGAGACCAAATTTGGGATTTAACCTAATAATAAAGTTAATTAAAACAATATAATTTATTTAAAGATAATGGATCTTGATGTGTCTTATTGTTTTTTCTTTTTCTTTTTTTAAATTGAGAGTGTAATGGGCCCATGGTAAAAATTGATGAGTGGGTCCAAGTTGGCATTGCTTGAGTGCAAAAATGATCCCATGTAGCATTGACATGTTATTGTGTGATAGAGATCTACAGTCAATGTGCTACACATGACTATTGAAAATTAAAATTTGCCTCATTTGTTTGAGTTGATAAGTTGGAAGGCAAAAATTCGTACATTATAAGTTAAAAAGTAAAAACCCTCAAGATCAATAAAATGAATGGCAAAACATGAGTTTTTGTCTTCCAACTAGCAATGCCAATGTGTAAACATGTAAAATGGGTACCATGTGGTGCTAACATGGTGTTTAGGTGGTGCTGATGTGACATGGGTAGCAAAGGACTAATTGTCACAAGCTACCCATTTATGTGTGACATTAAACATTATCTTATTATCCTAAACTCAAAAAACTAGAAGGTAAAAACTCATCCTTTGTAAGAAAGGGGGTCAAATCCTTCATACCTGAAAAGTTGAAGGATAAAGTGGGGAGTTTTTATCGAGGGAAACAAAACGAAAAGAAGGAGAGGGAAGGTGTTACCTCGATCAATTAAATTAAATTATTTAGCTAATAAAATAATTTAATTAATTACAATAAATTTTCTCTTTAAATCAAATATATTATAAAAGTTAACTTATCTAATCACTTAAACTTTTAAAATAATTTTATATTACTTATTTACTTCTTTTAGCGGAAATAAAGATCCTTGTAAACAAAATGGCTATAGGGTGCATTGGGAATTATTATAATGTCCTGTGGTTATAATTGTGTTAAATTATATTATATTGTAATTGTAAATTAAAATTATTTTAGTATTTAGTTATTTATTTTTTAAAAATATTATTGATAAAATATGGTAAATTTTATTAATTATTAATTAACATTTAAAAAATATTATATAATGTATAATTATTAAAATAGATAACATTTATTACTTCCAAATAATTTAGGTTTTCTAAGTTTGTTATAATGGATGTGCTCTAGGTTTTGTGAGAGAGTATCACATAAGGAGGGAACAAATTTTTAATATTTTTATAAAATTTTCAAATAAACAAGAGGTTAAGTTTAAATAAAATATTATAAATTATAATCTAATAAAATTATATGAGATTAGGTTTTAATGTGTAATTTTGTAATTATATTAAATATTAGGTATTTTTTCTAAAAACCATAGTAAAAAAGTTTCAAAATAAGATTTTTGACACATTTATATATAAAATTATTATAAATTTATTACAACTTTATGAAAATTTTAAAACAAATAATACGAAAAAAATTATCAAACACACATATATTTAAAAGTATTATACAACGGCAAGAAAAAACTCACAACCGCAATTTCAAATACACCCATAATTACTCGGCCTTTGTTAAAGTCTTCTAAACTCTTGTATAATTGTTAAAAATAATTCATAAACATAATTATTAATTGATAAAATAATTGATATTTATTATTTAATAAATTAAAATTAATTTATAAATTAGTATTTTAATTATCATAATTAACTATAAAATTACTAAAAAATATATATAATTATTATACTTTTTAGATCACCTTAGTAAAAAATTGGTGACAATAACCATATCCATACATAGTCCTAAGAGTGAAAAAAATTTCCTACAAAATCTTTTGATACATCCCAGGGATTACGTATAAGATAATAATTCCTCCTTTTTCTAGATCTCTCCTTTCTCAACTTGTTCATATAGCTACATAAGAACTACCCCATT